CTGCTGGATTTCCATTCATATGAAATTCATTATGTCGTTATCTAATTCCACCCATTTGTGGGTTATTTTGCCATCTTTTAAAAGATTTCTTATGCCCAGCAAATGGCCTTTTCTGCATTAAAAAAAACTTTATCTGGATATGTGGCATTTTCTTTTCTTTTTTTTTAAACTTTTTTTTTTTTTATTTTATTCTTAAGTAATCTCTATACCCAATGTGGGACTCAAACTCACAACCCTTAGATCAAGAGTTACATGCTCCTCCGACTCGGCTAGCCAGGTGCCCCTGGGGCATTTTCTAATATCAAGAACCAATGGCATTGGAATATTACATTTACCAACCACATATTAAACAGTGGTTTGTTTCAGAGTTCAAATAAAGAAGGTAGCTAAGTTGTAGCCATTAGTCTATAACTTACGGGCAGTCTTGGGAGTCAAGCTTGGGATGTCTTTTGTACTCAAATCATATATTTTACGTCTCCCTAGGGAGTGGTGAGAAAGTCTGATGTCTCCTTACAGCTCCCACACTATTAGTGTCATCTTGCAGCTGGGCCTCTGCTTCCAACTTTCTTCCTAGTTACTGCTATGTTACTTCTAATTTTTATTTTTAGGCCACCATTCTTACTTTGCTTTTCAGCAGATGGTGTGTGAATGCAGAATTTATTATGCCCTGGTGAGGGGAAATCATGCCTGGAATCCTTGTCATTTCCAAGTTACTAAAGCAATGCTCTGATAGTTAATTTAAAAAAAAATGTTATGTCATAAAACAAATGGCTCCTGTATTTTACATTTTCTGAGGTTTTTCTGTACAAGTAACTACAGAGAAGTGTATATAAGTGAAGTAAAAATGTCTGTATAGGTGAAAAAATTATTTTATTTCAGCAAGATGTGTTATAACTTTTTATATAAAAATCTGAAGAATATACTTTTCTATATTGGCAGACAACTTTGCATTCAGAAATGAATTTAAGATATCCAATACCTTCATTTTATTGAAATGACTGCTGTAAAGAAACTCTTATAATGTCTTTTAAAATTATCCTTTAGGTACAGATATACACACTTATTCATAAAGACCTTTAAACTTCACAGTACTATTTATATGCTTTATTGTCATTTGTATATTACATTCTTTGATATTTGACACGAAAATACAGAACTCTGTCATTTAATGCTGCATTAAATATTATTCTTTTTAAATTTACATATTTCAACTAAAGTATTTATATTGCTTTGGAGATAAAGTAGTGTTTCATGTGGTTTTTAAATTTTATTTTTTAATTTACATAAAGGACAACTCACTTTTTTTGGTGGAGGGTTACCTGAATTTTGCCAAGACGAAAGCTTCACCATAATCAGGAAATAGAACAAGACCCTTTATTCAATTTCCCTTGTGCTATTTCTTGTAGTCAAATCTTCTCCTATCCTTACCAGCCGACAATCACTATTGTTTTCTGTCCAGAATGTCAAACAGATGGAATCCTACTGTATACAACATTTTGGGTTTGGCTTCTTTCACTTAGCACAGTGGTTCTCAACTGAGAGCATTCTTGGCCTCCACAGAGGACATCTGGCATATTGGGAGACATATTTGGTTGTCAGAACTGGGAGCACTGGGAGAGTGCTACGTGGATCTAGTGGGAAGAGGCCAGGGATGCAATTAAATATCCTGTGATGCACAGGACAGCCTCCCACATCAAAGAATTCTCTGGCCTAAAACGTCAATGGTGCTAAGGTGGAGAAACACTAACTTAGCATAATGCATTTGAGATTTGTTCATATTGTTGCATAGATCAATCAGTAGTTCATTCTTTTTTATTGCTGAGTAGTGCTCCATTGTATGGATGTATCATAGTCTTTAACCACATACCCACTAAAGGACATTTGGGTTGTTCCTAGTTTTGGGCACTTCTGAAAGTTTTTGAGTGAACACAGTACTGGGAGGAGGATTGCCTGATCATATGGTAAGTGTATGTTTAACTTCATAAAAAATCCGAACTGTTTCTCAGAGGGGCTATAATATTTTATTTTGCATTCCCACCAGCAACATATACGGTTGCAGTTACTCTGTGTCTTTGGCAGCACTGAGTATTGGGTATTGCTTTTTTTTTTTGTAATTTAGTCATTCTAATGTGTATGTGGTAATATCTCATTGTGGTTTTAAGTTTGTCCATTTGGGTTAATTTTTAGAATTTTAGAATTTAATGTACATTTTCTGAGATTTCAAAAAAATAGTATTACATAAATAAAGTATGTAATAACTGGCACAAAGTTATGAATGTCTTTGTAGACTTTCATTCTGTTCTTCCTCAGTATAGGAACTACTGATCCTTTTACAGTTTCTATCTTAAGAGAACCCAGTTTACCAGTGTTAGGATTCACTGATCTACAAAGATCTTCTGCACATGCCTGGCCCAGGCTACACGGACTTTGAGAAAAGGTGGAGGAGGAGAAGCCATCCCCATTTTAAATATAATTAAAGGATTATTTGTAAGAGTTGCATGCACTTCTCATAGTTCACTGGGGAAAGGGACAAAACCTTGATGTTCTCATTGTCTAGCATGGTCCTTGGCATGAAGTGAATCCCACAGCGGCAGCTCTTGAGCACAACAGAGTAAAATTATTTTTTCTTAGATTCAAGTGTTTGTAAAACATTTTCCTTTACTGGCTGGCTGCTGAAATTACTTCTGAGATTCGTATAAGGAACTAGTTACTTACTCGCACAATTTGCTGTATTCCCACCTCTAGAAACCGTTATTAAATGGTTTCTTGCATCTTTTCCTTCTTTTTAAATATAACTTTATTGATCCCCCTATTTCCCTAGATTAGGTGTGTCAGGAGTATTGATGCTGAGAGGATGTTATGATTTCATTTACAGCAAACTTGAAACTTGCCATCAGAAAGAACTAACTGTGGCCCTCTATCATTCCAGTCATGTTGAAGGCTTCCAGGAGAGAGGATAGATCGGAGGACCTCGGTCCCACTAATGGCTGTGGCTTCCTTACTTTGATTCGACAATTTGATTCGTAAGGCCAGAAGGCTCATGGCACCCAATGAGAACAGAAAGATTGCAGAAAATTAATCTTAAAACTATGTGTAATGAGATACATTTACAGACTGGGCAGCTATCTCAATTTGGTCTTTTTGCTGACGGGCTTTCCTCACAATTTGGGATCCAGACATTTTGGCATTTGATTCCCAACAATTTAACTGGAAACCTTGGTGCCTGCAGCCTTTAGCACCCAGAGCACTACGTTGTGGAGTATTAATTCAGCATGCTGGGTAGTTCACCCACACAGTACAGAAATAGCCTGGGGTGACCAAAATCCAAACCCAACCCTAATTATTTGAGAATTGGAAATGAACACACACAGTCTTCATCCGCGTGCTTTATAAGACCACACTGTTTCAGTTATACATATCCCAATGTGAACTTCTCTGGGATCAAAAGACATTTAATTTCTGTTTCATTTTAGCTAATTTATGTTCAAACTCGGGTAATTGCAAACACCACTTTAAGGGAGTTAATGACGCCCTCATTTGAAAATGATATAGTCAAGGCTCTGGATTTACATTTGTTCCTTCCTTTCTCAATATTATTTTACATTTTCCTCAGGGTAGGAGGTCACTTTTTTTTTTCTTCACAAAAAGTTCACTGCCGTAGTAAACAATGGTGGATTATTTTTGCTCAAGGACTCTTGAATTTAGATGTGAGGGTTAATTTGGCCACTCAGTCACACAGCTACTTCTGAATCAATTCTGCTTTCCATGCTTGCATCTGACTCAGTTGTGCTGATTAAAAACATGAATCATGATCATGCACTCAGATTTAGACCTATGTCTTCCTAGCTAGGACCTTGGGCACATTGCTGCTGGGAGCTTCCTTTTCCTCATCTCTCAAGTAGAGATAATAATACATCCCTACTTAAAAATGTGGTCATAAGGATCAAATGAGGAGTAAATGCTTGGCATGCAGTAAAAACTCAAAATATGATTATTATTTGCTCTATGGATACCATCAACTCTTGAAAATATGTTGTTTTGTAGACAACTCAAATTGTGTACAAAAGAAAATAATCTTATATCAAGTCATCAACTATAACCCCCTCAGTGTGTGCTGGTACTATTGAATTAATTTAGTGTTATTAGAGGTATTTATTTATTTTTTTGCTTGGGGCTTATCTGTTGTTATTGTTGTTTGGAAAAAGGTGTATTGGTACTGCAGAAAAGAATCCTTCCCCTCATTTACATGCATAAAATCTACATCCTCCTTCCTTTGGTTTTACATCACTACTCCTGACTGCAGCATGGTTTATGTCTTATGGCTACTTGTTGACTCTAATTTGTGAGACTGATCTAGAAAAAATAGGAATTTCCTTAAATGACAAATGTGTTTGGTGCTGTCTGATTAACATGGAATCACTGCAGTGGTGATTTCTTTTACGAACAGATACCTTTAAGTCAAACTTTCATGATTGGCAGACCCATAAAACGTACAAAGCAGAGAAATTTGTTTTAAGGTCAGAATTGTATTCACTTTATGCCCATCTGATTTCATGGTTTTTGAAATCTTTTTTTTTAATTTTTATTTTTTAATGAAATGTCTTTCAAAATTTCTATGGTGCTGAGTGGAGACACATTCATGGTCTCTCCCTCATTGAGGCTACTTCTTGCCTGGGTGGCCTCCCTGCCGTCTTCTTGCTTATTTCCTGCCCTGTTCAGCATTATCTTTCCAATCTAATCTGAATGATCTTTTAAAAATATGTATCTAATTGTGTCACTGCCTGCTTACAATCATTACTTGTTGTCCCTTTGCTCATGGGATAAAATCAGAAATCCAGACCTTGGCTTCCAGCCCACTGACCTACCTCACTGCAGCCACTCTGCTTGACCCTTTGTGACCAAACCTTATGTGGCATCATGTTAGTTCTTTCTGCCCCTTTCCACTGAACGGCCTGCCCATTTGGTCTTCCATCTTTCTTCCCCCTCCCCCATTGCCTTACCCCCATCTCCTTCAATGCTCAGCTTAAAAGTCATTTCTCAGAGACGTTTTTCTTGGTCTCTTACGTGTGGTCTGATTCTCATATTGTATATCTCTTGGCACTCTATATTTCTTCCTAACACTTATCACCGCTGTAAGAAGATAGTTATGTGATTAGATATTCAATTTCCCCAACATTATGTATGCAAGCTTTATGAGGGAAATTTTATTTATCGAAATAGTCAATAGCTACCACAGTGAATGCATGCTAAGCTTTTGACTGATATTTGTCAAATACATGATTGAATGACATGTTCATTACTATGTTGTCAATGTCTCAAATATAGCAGATGCTCAGTAGTATTTGCTTGATGACTAAATGAAAGTGTTATCTATTCAGAAAGAAAAGGCGTGCTACAGCAGCGGGGAGTGGGTTGTAGTGAATCACAGTGAGAAGACCCTCTGAGGATGATGCAAACCCAGGGAGAAAATGTAATGGACTGTTTGGATGATTATCAGCTCACTAGAGTTTTTTGTCGAGGGTTCCTCCAGTTTTCTTACTTAAGGGGTTTGGAGGGCATTGCACCTGTGTCAGGATATATGGTTCTGTCACTGGTTGGCTGTGTACCTTCAGAGGGTCACGTATCTCCCAGATCAGGAAGGACATGGGGAATCTTCCTACCTCCCCAACCAACATCACAGGTTTATGAGAGTCCCACGAAAAATGGAAAGTACTTTGTAAGCTGTAAACAGCTACAGATGTATGATTATTTAACCTATTTAATAGGATGCTGGTAAAATAGTTGATCAGTTCGGAAGGGCATGAAGTCCCCTCACCCAGTGCTTCTCTCCAGAGTTACTCACTTTTGCCAGTTTCTCTGTGTTATTGTCCTTCTAGATATGATCAGTAGATTGGTTGATGTATGTGTGTGTGTGTATAATGTGTATATGTATGTTTATAAACACACAAACACAAATATATAAGCAAACACAAAACCACAAATCAGATCGTAATACAGTTCAGCAATATATTTTTCTACTTACCGTGTCTTGGATATTTTAATGACAGCACATATAGAGTTCTTTTAGCTACTGCATAGTTTTCTATTGTGTGCATCTGCTGTGGTTTATCTGATTTCCATATTGATGGCTATAGAGCTTGTTTCCATTTTTTACTACTGTAAGCAGTGCTTCAGGGAACAGATAAGTTGAATTCTCTTCCCTGATTAAAATCCTTCAATAGCTTCCTATCTTTACCCTCTGCACTTAGCGTCTCATGCCACGTGGCCCAAGTCCTGTGCTCACCGAGTAGCGCTGAAACTGAAGTTGTCTTTATCATATAACTTCTGGCTTCAGGGAAGTTTCAAAATTGTTTCTAGTGTAGCTTCCCTGCTCTGGCAAAGGAGGCCTGTTCTCCACATGGGACTTTTTCATTTTATCTTTTCACCTTTACAAATCCGGTGCTTAAACATGTTCCTTTAACTCTCTCTTTTTATAAATTTCTAAAAATCCATCTCTTCCTAAAAGAGTCTGCATAGGCTAATTCACCAACAATTTTTTGATGCCATCAATATTCTAGTTATTTTTTTTAAAGCAAGCATTTATTGAATTGTTATGGTGTCCATCTCACTACACTAGAAACAAATGTGGATATAAGTACTTTGTAAGATTTCTTTAGTTATTCCTTGTTTATGAGTTGTCACAGTGTAAGTTTTTTTTTAAAGATTTTATTTATTTATTTGACAGAGAGAGAGAGAGAGAGCACAAGCAGGGGGAGTGGCAGGCAGAGTGAGAGGAAGGAGACTCCCTGCTGAGCAGGAAGCCTGACACAGGGCTCCATCCCAGGACCCTGGGATCATGACCTGAGCCAAAGGCAGACGCTTACCTGACTGAGCCGCCCAGGCATCCCTGTCACAATCTAAGTTAACAACGGCTAACAGGTGTGCCCTAGCCTATCCTTCAGAGCTCCACTGCCAAATTTTGCTCACTATATAAAACTTTGCTTTTGCTACTGCTGAGTACCCACAGTGCTGTATTCGAGGTGGTATGATATGGTTAAAGTGGGATAAAACCTTTCTTTGTAAGAGTTAAGAGGAATTCCTTAACATCAGATCAGTATCGAAATATTGTGTGTTTACTGGAATGGGCCAGAATTTTGCCTCATGAATATTTCAAAGACTGTGGTCATAGCCGTGAAGCAGTTAAGAGTCAACAGTTACCTACATGGAGACGAGCTGTTGAGCCAAGTAACTATGGAGGCATTTATAGGCCTCCTAAGAGATGATTAGGCTAAAGCCCTGGCTGTGTTGTAACAGTTTTTATTTGTTGACACTGTTTTATATTTGTTCAATGTTCCTTTAAGGACACAGCCACCCAAATTCCCGGATTCAAACTGGTGCCCGCAACAATTTTTTTTTTTTTTTGCCAGTCAGAAGGGCTTTCCAGAACAAAGGCGGTATCTTTCTTCTTTTAAAGGGTTGTAATGTCTGCTACAGAGCTGAGGATCAGGTACTTAACAAATACTTCTTTTTTTAAGTTTTTAAATAATTTTTTATTTAAGTAATCTTCACGCTGAATGTGGGGCTCGAACTCATGACCCCGAGATCAAGAGCCATATGGTCTTCCACTGAGCCAGCCAGGCACCCCAACAAATACTTTTTACTATCAATTGGCACCCAGTGTTACCAAGAAAATGAAAGCCCAAACCAAAAACCAAACAACAAACCACAAGCGAAAACAAAATTAGAACTAGCTTGTAAGCCACTATAGAAGTGAGACTTACTTCTATATAACTCTGCTGATTTGGAGCGAATAAACAGTATGCATAAGAGAAATGCCAAAAGTATTCTATTCACAATAGCAAATGGATCAACCTAGAAGACACTCTGACTACAGCAGGCTGTTAGTGTTACAGTCACAAACAATATGATCCTGCGAATAGCAGGTTATACACACAAACCAAAGAACAGCCTGCACTACCCCAACAAAAAACAGTAAAATAATGAAGGCAGCATCTATGATTTAATTCTTACAATAAGTTTTGTTTTAAATATATTACCATGTTTTAATTTTCACAACAGACTTGCGTGGGTAATTAGTATTATATAAATGAAGTGAGCCTCGGAGCATTTATACCACTTGCTCGAGTCACATTGCAAGTAGTAAGGACAGGATCTGAGCCATTTCTAGCTGATGCTAAAAAATATTCTAACCATTATTCTCTACTGGGTCTCTTCAGGTAGGAAGGGTGGAAAAGAGTGCAGGTTTTTTTTTTTTTTTAATCACATCAGCACAATTGGCTAACATTATCAAACTCAACAGAAAACAAGTTCCGGAAGCTAAGGAATTCCAAGATAATTTGAAATTTATCTTCATCAGAGTGGGGGATCATCAACCTGGAGCCACATTTCTCTCCCTCAAGCTTGGTGCACCATGCACAGAGTCACCAGGGCTGCTCCATGGCAGTCCCACGGCCGTTCTGGAAGGCAATGTCTGGCATGGGGATGTCGGAAAGTCTCCCGTTTGTCAGGAGGCTGAACACACCTTTGATGAAAGATCATTACTTACCCAGCATATTGTTATAATTCCCTGATGGGTCACTTACATTTTATCACTTCCTAAGGGTCATTAGACCTGAGAGCTTTCAAAGACAGGGCCTGGTGAGCAGGTGGGCAACAATGTCATTCAGGCAGGAAACAGCCTGGCTACGTCACAATGTGCTAGTCTCCTCTAAAGATACAAAGTCTCTAAAGATATAAAGTCTCTAAAGATACAAAGTCTCTAAAGATACAAAGAGGCCAGGACACTAGCCTCTTCTAAACTGATACTGTAGCTTCATGGTTTCCAGCTTAAAAAGTGAAGAACAATGACTTGGATGGAAAACAATTCTTCATAATTCAAGGAACTAAAAGGAAGCAGTGGTCTGGATGATACAAAAAAGGGAAATCCACAAAAGCATTTCTATCTGGCTGTGGTACGCATCACACGGTTTCTTCTGTCCAGGTGCTATACTGATCCTTGCCAGGTTTTATTTGACTGAGGTTAAAATTTGGTTTCAATTCATGGCTATCAAGCCTGACTATTACAAACAGTGATCAAATGTACCTTGAGTACTGTCATGAAAAGCCTCTTTATAGTGAGTTGTGTTATTCTGAAGTCGTTTGTGCTGCCTGTCACTGGGTTTCCAGAAGGAGGTTTATAAATAGTGCGGGTATTAACTTTGCACACGTCATGGCCATTCTGCCCATTTACAAATCCATTGGATTTTATAGACTGGATTCCAGTGGGCAGTCTTTGAGGATTTTTATTTTTATTTATTTATTTATTTAATTTATTTAAAAGATTTTATTTATTTACTTGGGAGAGAGAATGAGAGAGAGAGAGCACATGAGAGGGGGGAGGGTCAGAGGGAGAAACAGACTCCCCGCTGAGCAGGGAGCCTGATGCGGGACTCAATCCCAGGACTCCAGGATCATGACCTGAGCCGAAGGCAGTCGCTTAACCAACTGAGCCACCCAGACGCCCAGTCTTTGAGGATTTTTAGATACAATATAGTAGAAGGATCTGCCTCATAAATTGAATGTGAGGATTAAATCATGAATATACATGCAACAGTCTGAGCTATTAGTAGTAGTAGCAGCAATAGAAGGAGTTATAGAATGAGCAAGAAAAACAATGTCCTCTGCTAATAATATTTGGAACTCATGTTGAGCTTATCTAAATAAGCTGCAGGCATTATTATTATTGTTGTTGTTGTTATTTAAACATTTATTTATTTTTTTGAGAGAGAGAGAAAGAACATGAGTGGGGGTGTGGGGCAGAGAGACAAGCAGACTCCCCACTGAGCAGGGAGCCTGATGCGGGACTTGATCCCAGGACCTTGAGATGGTGACCTGAGCCGATGGCAGACGCTTAACCGACTGAGCCGCCCAGGTGCCCCAAGATGCAGGTATTATTTATTAACTCATTCAGCAATGAGTTACTGAGAGCCTCTTCTGTCCCAGGCAGTGTTGTAAGTGCTGGGATGAAGCAATGACTAAGACAGACCAAATCTCTGTGTTACGGAATTTATATTCCAGGGGACATGCAAAGTGGCCTCTCTTATTTTCTTTAAAACACTTCTTTTGGTGGTTTACTGTCTTATTTTTTTTTGACTTTTTAAGGAAAGCCTTCATATAGAGATGAAGAATTTTATTTTGATGTGAACAAAATTATTTTGTACTTTTATCTACCTACTTCATCTCTCCTATAAAACTCTGGAGTTTAAGGGCAAGACTGGTGATTGGGTAATTTGTCGTTCTCACCCTGTGCCTAGCAAAGTGTCTTCTTGTAAACAGTATGAAATAAAAGTATATGTGTTGAATGACTAGTCGATTCCAGTAACAAATTATGGAGCTCTGTCTCATTACGTTGTAGTTGCACTTCCTACACAGCAAAGATAATTAATAATACAAGGTGATAGAGATAAATGCTAAATTAGTGATCTATAACAGAGGTGCTAAAGGCACTCATTTTGGGTTAGAGTGATTATAGAAGAGAGGAAATGAATTTGGCCTTAAAGAATAAATAAGATTCAGGTAGAAGAGGAGTGCATTATTAGTAGGTAAGTGGAAATATCCCACTCAGAAGAATCCAGGAGCTTTGGGAAATTTTACTTTTTCTAGACAGTGGTAAATTAGTGAAGGTTTTTGCCTGGGGGATTAACGTGTAGTTTGTGAAAATTGTCTTCCCAGCTCTATTTGAGGCTATTGCCTGAATTTAGAATTTAGAAATGACTAGAACCTAATGAAATTTAATGGGTCATGTAGTCTATTAGGAGGACTGCCATCAGTTGGGGCACCTGGGTGGCTCAGTTGTTAACCATCTGCCTTCGGCTCAGGTCATGATCCCAGGGTCCTGGGATGGAGCCCCACATCAGTCTACTTGCTCAGCCGGGAGCCTGCTTCTCCCTCTCCCACTCCCCCCTGCTTGTGTTCCTGCTCTCACTCTCTCTCTGTCGAATAAATAAATAAAAATCTTAAAAAAAAACCCCACAAAGGTGGACTGCCATCAGTATTAAAAAGAAAAGAAGACAAAGAGAAATAACACAAAGCATTAAAATTTGTCACCTGGGGTGAGGGGAAGTATTATCTTATGAAACTCTCATTTCAGTTGTAAGCTTGTGGACGAGTGTGTGTGTCTGGGTAGGAACGGATCTGGAAGTGGATTTCAGTCAAAACAATTCAGGGCTCCTGAACGTTAGTTCAGCATCTGCCTTCTGCTCAGGTCATGATCTCAGGGTCCTGGGATCGAGCCCAGCATCGGGCTCCCTGCTCAGCGGGAAGCCTGCTTCTCCCTCTCCCACTCCCCCTGCTTGTGTTTTCTCTCTCTGTCTATCTCTGTCAAATAAATAAATAAAATCTTAAAAAAAAAGTTCAAAACCATTGAGTTAGAGACCCCAATGAGATTCTTACTAGTGAGCACGACTTTTTGTTTCTTTCTCCACCCCAGAAATAGTTGTATTTCTGCTAGCCACTGTATAATTTATTTTTATCACATACATATTGGATTATCATATATAGGGCCTAAATTGTGTTTTCTCAAAGACAAAACTCAAAAAAAAAAATAAAGATATAGATGTTATTCAGGCTATGGAAGTAGAGAGAACACCCCAGATCTGAAGTTGACAGTCTTAGCAAGATGGTTTTACCTTAGACAACTAGAGGGAGGAAAAGTCACAAGTGAGTGCTTTACAGTTGGAATTGTTTTGTAATCAAAGAGAGTCTGTCAGTTAGCTGTGCAGGAAATGTTGATCTCTATGCCTAGCTAGCTTCAGGAAGACAAACAGTTCTAATCTCAGCTAAATCATTTGTAAGACAAAGAATAGGGAGTTGGAGGGTCTGTGTCTGTCCTTGTCAGCAGATTCAGGCAAAAGGGGAAAGGTCTATGTTTGGCTCTGTCACAGGTAAACAAAGGAGTCATGGAGAGTCTTATGGAAGTCATGAGAAAGAGTGGACAGTCTTATCTATGTCATATAGGGAAAGGTCGTTCTTTGTGGTAAGCCATTTCCTAGAACACAAGAGTCGGGGGATTGGAAAACAAAAGTTGGGGAGATTTCTTAACTAGAGCTGTTTTCCAGAAACACAGAGCTCAGGTAAACATTGACATTGTCAATTTTCTCTTCTGGGTTGACTTTAGAGAAAGCATAGGACCCAAAGTCCGACCCACTCCCTACAAGTGGGTAACTTGACAGCATGTATCCAGCTAATTTCTTGGATGGTAACCGATGGTGGCTAACATCATTGAGCATATACCACTGTAACAGGAAACTTCTTTTTAATTGGAGAATAATGGGTACTGGAAAAGTTCATTTAAAGTGAATCTACTTTCAGGGCAAAAATATTTTTAAAATGATTTTTGTTTATTTGTTTGAGAGAGAGAGAGAGAGAGCAGAGCCAGAAACAGAACATGGTGGGGGAGGGGCAGAGGGAGAGGGAGAAGCAGGCTTCCCTCTGAGCGGGGAGCCCGACGTGGGGCTTGATCCCAGGACCCTGGGATCATGACCTGAGCCAAAGGCAGATGCTTAACCATCTGAGCCACCCAGGAATTCCTCAGGACAAAATTTAATAGAAGATAAACTTTAAAAAAGTTTGAATGGACCTCTACCTTGTAAAATAAAACTTAAAATTATTTAAAAATAAATTTATTGTCTCATTTAATAGAATGCAATTTGTATTCCAGCTAATTTTAGAACAAAGAATGGATGAGATGTTGATTTGGGGGCATTACTTTTCTGACACCCTGGCACCATCGCTCCATACAATACTCTTCTCTGCCATTTTCATAGGACAATTTTATAGAGGGTATCATTTGTGAAAAAATATTCAAGCCTTCATCAATTTTCTGAAATGTCTTTTGGTTCTTTCATATTCCTTTTATTCTTTTTTGAAATGCCTGTGTACCCTCCCCTTTTTCATTTGCTAGATCTAATTCAAATGTTCATTTGTCAATGACTTTGCCTGAGCAATTCCAGCGGCGCTTACCCTTCCCTTACATCAGGTTTGTATCTTTGGTAGGCAGTTGATTTATATTGGATATATTGTATGGTCGGATATTTAAAAGAAAGATATTTACCCAGGAGGTGGATGGTTTATATGAATACAAATTGTTGGGGCGCATGGGTAGCTTAGTCATTAAGCTACTGACTTCAGCTCAGGTCATGATCCCGGGGTCCTGGGATTGAGCCCCGCATCGGGCTCCCTGCTGGGTGGGAAGTCTGCTTCTCCCTCTCCCACTCTCCCTGCTTGTGCTCTCTCTCTCGCTGTCTCTCTCTCTCTCTGTCAAATAAGCAAATAAAATCTTTAAAAAAAAACATTGTTTGGGTTCTGTAGTAAATATTTTCATTTGCTTTATAAAGATCCCCATTGCTGTATCTAAATTCCTAATTATGAAGACATCAAATGAGAAAACTCCAATAACAGGCACCCCTCTGTGTTTTATATGCTTTATTTTATGAAGTTCTCACTCCAACTCTACGAGGCTGGTTATTACCATCCCCAGTACCCAGATGACAAAATGGGGGCTTTGAGAATTTGTGTCATTTGCCCTCAGTCACAGAGTCACCAAATGGCAGAGCCATGAAGGAATGTTTAAG